TCAGGACTGGGGGGTCTTCCGGGTCTTCGGTTGTGTCTGGGAACGACTCCATCTGTAAAGTTGGCTTTCATTGGCTCTGGCTTGTCACGTGGCCTTCCTGACCCGGGGGCCCGGCAGTATGCTGTATTGTGATTGGCCAGTCTTGGTTATTTAGCTAGCGTGCGACCGGAAGTAAGGTGATTCGGCCTGGCCGAATCCTCCCTGTGCCCCAAATCGGGTTTGTTACTCTACCGGAGTATTCTTTGGGCCAGCAAACCAATTGTTAAAGCACAAAACCTCCGCTGAGTAAGTTTGAAGAGCTGATTGGCTCTATGAAGCGATTCATGCTTTGGGCAGCCTCCTGTCTGGTTGGGGGCGAAGAGGCGGGGGGGATGGTGGGTTCCGAGGAGTTGTACAAAATGGAAGGTTTTCATAGGAGGGGGAAGGGGGCAAGAAAGTTATAAAAGAAAGGATTGTTCCACGCCAAGGTCACCTTCCTCTAGGGGAAGGGCACGGGGTCTTACTGTGGAATTAACCTCATCTTGCTTTGGGAGATGGAGAGGGGCCGTGTGACCCCGTTATGGGTGCTGACCAGAAAATTCCTGACTGACCTGTTAAGACTTAGGTTTTTTGGGCGAAGATGAAGCTGCAAATTGGTTGGGTATCAAGCCCAGTTTGGTGACGTTGCCTAAGTGACGTCACTTTGAGCCTGTACTTTTTTTTACTTTTTATTAAAAAAATTTTTTTTAATGTTTTATTTATTTCTGAGAGAGAGGGAGACAGCATGAGCAGGAGAGGGTCAGAGAGAGAGGGAGATACAGAATCTGAAGCAGGCTCCAGGCTCTGAGCTAGCTGTCAGCACAGAGCCCGATGTGGGGCTCGAACCCATAAACCGTGAGATCATGACCTGAGCCGAAGTCGGACGCTTAACTGACTGAGCCACCCAGGCGCCCCTAATTTTTATTTTTAAGGAATCTCTACACCAGACCTGGGGCTCTAACTCTCAGCCCTTGAGATCAAAAGTCACATGTTCCACCCACCGAGCCAGCCAGTCCCCCACGCCCAACCCCACCCCAGCCTGTGCCTTCTTTTCTTTCTTTTTTTTTTTTTATTATTTTTGTAAATGTGTATTTATTTTTGAGAGAGAGACAGTGCAAGCAGGGGAGGACAGAGAGAGAGGGAGACACAGAATCCGAAGCAGGCTCCAGGCTCCGAGCTGTCTGCATGGAGCCGGATGCAGGACGCAGTAGTTGAACTCATGAATGGGGGGATCATGACCTGAGCCAGAGTTGGACACTTAACCAACTGAGCCACTCAGATGCCCCACCTGTGCTTTCTTTTTAAAACAAGGGAACCAGCCAGTGAGAGCAGAAGGGATCCATTTTACAGAAGAGAAAGTCGAGGCTCAAAGGGGGAGGTTACTACTGCAGAGCCAGAGCCAGGGAGTGAGAGGTTTGGGATGCAGTCGTCTTTCCTGATGCCTTCGTGCTAAAGAGTTCACAGGGTTTGTGTGGACATGGGCCATGCTTCTTGGTTTCTAAACACTGAAAATGCAGCTGTGTTGGCTGCCTGCAACCTCCTGGTGTTTATAAGGTATCGCACAAAACAAAACATCAGAAGAGTAATACAACTTCTAAAATGAAAAATTCACAGGGGCACCTGGGTGGCTCAATCGCTTAAGCTTCTGACTCAGGATTCTGGCTCAGCTTGTGATCTCATGGTTAGGTTCGTGAGCTCGAGCCTGGCGTCAGGCTCTGTGCGGACAGTGTGGAGCCTGCTTGGGATTCTTTCTCCCCCTACCCCACTCATGCTCTCTCTCTCTCTCTCTTTCTCAAAATAAATACATAAACATTCTAAGAAATGAAATGAAAAATTCACATTCCCTTCATTCTGAAGGGTTCGTGTCTAGGACGTGAACTACACGTAAACTTTCGCTTGTGCACAAAGGTATCTGTATTGCAGTGGTGGTTTATAATGTTTATATTTATTTTTGAGAGAGACAGTGTGCAAGCGGGGGAGGGGCAGAGAGAGAGAGAGAGGGAGACCCAGAATCCGAAGCAGGCTCTGACACAGAGCTGTCAGCACAGAGCCTGATGCAGGGCTTGAACCCATGGACCACGAGATCATGACTTGAGCCAAAGTTGGTTACTTACCCCGCTGAGCCACCCAGGCGCCCCTGCAGTGGTTGGTTGTAATAGCAAAAGGCTAAACAATCTAAATGTTTGATGAGAGGGGATTGGTTACATTAATTAGGGACCATTTAGAGTATTACACAACTGTTAATGTGAGGCAGATAGAAAGGTGCTAATATGAAAGTATCATGTATATATTTTGTCCAAGGCGGGGGGGTGGGGCAAGTGCAAAGGAACGTATAGGGCGCTACCATTTGTGTTTTATTTTTTTTTTATTTTTTATTTTTTTAATGTTTATTATTTTTGAGAGAGCAGGGAAGGGTCAGAGAGAGAAGACAGAATCTGAAGACAGGCTTCAGGCTCTGAGCCAGTTGTCAGCACAGAGCCTGATGTGGGGCTCGAACCCACGAACGGTGAGATCATGCATGACCTGAGCCGATATCGGACTCTTTTTTTTTTTTTTAATTTTTTTTTTAAATGTTTTATTTATTTCTAGGAGAGAGAGAGAGAGACAGCGTGAGCAGGGGAGGGTCAGAGAGAGAGGGAGTCACAGATTGAAACAGGCTCCAGGCTCTGAGCTGGCAGTCAGCAGAGAGCCCGACGCGGGGCTCGAACCCACGAACCGTGAGATCATGACCTAAGGGAAAGTCGGACGCTTAACCGACTAAGCCACCCAGGCGCCCCCCATTTGTGTTTTAAAAACGGACCATATGGAGTTCACTTGCGACATTCAGTTCAGGAGGAGCTGGGCAGACCCGCCTGCCGGCAAACTGGTGCAAATTATAAAAACAGAACAAATCAATGGTTTAAAGCTTCTGGCAATGATCTGAGGGCACATAGCAAATTGATAACCATTCATTCGAGAAAATCTAAACATTTGGTGAGAACAGGGAGAATCCGTAACAAGTAAACCCAAACCCTCTTCTCTCCCCCCTTCCCTCCCCTCCCTGCTCAGCACCCCTTCCCCCCGTTCCTGCCTGGGCTCCCTCCCCGCACCCAGTTCCACGCTGGAGGCTGTCCTCAGGGGAGGGGCAGAGCGGCAGCCTTTCTCATCCTGCCGCCAGCTACTTGTTGCTAAGGCTGAGTTCCGGGGGAGCACCAACAAGAGGTGGGGGGCTCTGTGTTGGACGTGGTACAGCCAAGGGTGCTGGAGGCCTGGCTGTCCGCCTCTCCCCCGCTCCCTGGCCCCTGGGGCAGGGGCTCACATCCAGAGGGCAAGCTAGGAGACCCGGGGCCGCCCCCTCACCCCGCTGAGGGCTCAGCTCCTAAAGTGGGGTCACTCTGCGCGTAGCTTACCATTATCCCCATTCCCACTCGGTCTGTGGCTCAGAGATTTTGTCTGTTGGGAGAGGCACCTGCAGAACAGACAGCTCCATATCTTTCCTGGACTCAGAGGAACAGACTCTGATCACAACAGAGTGTGGAGAAGTTCAAGCCTAAAGGTGCCTCGGGAACAGCGGAGGTTGTGGTGGAAAGCAGACGGAAGGGGATAGGTAGGTTCTGGCTAGTTTGCCGGCGAGCCAAGGAAAGAGACCAGCTGGGAGGAGCCCTCCTGCGGTCAGAACTAATCTCAAGTGACTTGGGGAGCTAACCCTTCAAAGGACCGCTAATTCCCCTGAATCTGTCTCTGAAAAAAGGTTATGCCCCGTGGTGTTGAAAACAATGAGGACAGTAGAGCAATCAGCTGACAGTTGGTGGTGCTTATCTGCGCAGAACAGTTGGGAAAGACCCAGAGAACCTGCCCACACCCCCCAGCCCAGGATGACCGGGCATAACTGAGGCTGTGCACCCCCCACCCCGGGCTCTGCACTTGCCAGAGAAAGAACAGACCTAACAAATCACCTAGCGGGTCACTAACCAGGGAAACGAAACAAACCCCAGGGAGTGGGTGCCAATGCCCAGAGTGGCCATAATGTGCTATCTGAAATGTCCAGTTCCCAGCAAAAAAAATTATGAGATCGGCATGGAAATAAGACAGGCATGTAGGAGGGGGAGGGAGGCAGGAGAAACTGCCCGCCCCGGGGAGTGACCAGATGTTGGAATGAACAGGCAAAGCCTTCAAAGCAACCATTCCAAATATGTTTGGAGAGCCAAAGGCAACTGTGATTAAAAAAATAAAAGCAGAGGCGCCTGGGTGGTTCAGTCAGTTGAGCATCCGACTTTGGCTCAAGTCGTGATCTCAAGGCTTGGGAGTTCGAGCCTCACATCAGGCTCCCTGCGGTCAGCCCCAACCTCCCGTGAACAAGCCAGCTCTTGTTCTAGGAGCAGGGGACTCAGCAGTGAACAAGGCAGGTCCCCACCCCCACCCTGGGTTGGGGGGACCGTGTCTCACAGTGCCACCAGGCCATTTGCAGAGTGGTTAAGTGCCAGGATTCTGGGCCCTGATGGTTTCCATTTGAATCCTGGCTGTGGTTATTTGTATGTGTAGCACTTGGCACTGTGTAACTGTAAACTCTTGTTATTTTTGCTATTTTTCTCCCGATCACCCAGTTATTTCTTCAGGGGGCGCCCTCTGCCCGAGGCTGGTTCTAGCACCTTTTAGCGAGTCTGCAGGCTCCGGAGCCTCCCCCACCTTATCTCTGGCCCCTCTGCCTGTGCGTCCCCTACTCCAGCTCCGGCCACGCTGGGCTGTTGGTGGCGGTGAGGGGGCTGTTCCCCCGGCTGGACAGGGAACCTGATCACTGGACCAGGGGTTTCCTGATCAGGGCTCTGTACTCACAGGACCGTGGACACGGCAGGCATTCAAGAAACATACTGAACGCATGAATGTTAGCGACGGTGAGAGGAGCGCTCGGGCTATCTCTGTGTTCCTCACCTCGAAGGTAGGGCCCAGGAATTAGGTGCGACCTGGGGGTCCCTCCCGCCCAGTCCCTGGCCCAGAGCAGTAGAACCTGCGCGCAGGTTGGAACGCGATGTAACAGTGCCCCCTTGTGGTCTCCCATTTTAGAACCCTGGTGTGGGTGAGGCTGTTCCCGCCCGAGGAAGGAGGACGCGGCGGGATCCCAACCCCGGGGCCCCATTCACCCCCCCACCCCATGAACAACCGGGCGCGGGCCCCAAACCCCTCCCCGGTCCGGGGCTTGGCCGTGGCCCGGGCTTCGACCCCGGTCAGGTCCTCGATCCCGGTCCGAATCCCAGCTCCAGCCCGGGCCTCGACCCCAGCCCGGACCCGGAATCCCGCCCCGACCCCGACCCCGGTCCGGGCCCCGAATCGCACCCACGCCCCGACCCTGGTCCAGGCTCCGAATCCTGCCCAGGTCCCGGCTCGGGCCCCAAATCCCGTTCAGACCCCGACCTCCGCCCGAACCCCGACTCCCGTCCAGGCTCCGGTCTCATCCTGGACCCCTACTCTCCACACCCCGACTCCGGTCCAGACCGCAACCCCAGTCTGGACCCGGACTCCTGTCCAACCCCCGACAGTGGTCCGGACCCCAACTTCTGTTGCGACTTCGACCCGGGTCCAGCTCCCGGCTCCCGCAGAGATCTCGACCAGGGCCCTGTTGCCCGCTCCAAACTGGATCCCACCTCCGGCCGGGATGGCAGCCCCAACCTCACCCCCAGTCGGGGTCCCCATCACAGCCACGGTCCCTGCCTCGGAAACCTTCCCGAACTCGGCCCCACCTTTGGATCTACCCTCAGAATCGGCTTTGAAGCCTGCTGTGTCACCGGACAAGGATCTTTCACTGATGCCCACTGTCACCAGTGGATTGGGGGCCACCCAAGAGCCCCTTCCTGCCCTCACTCCAACGGCCACTGATTTCCTGGGGCCCATCCTTGGATCAACCTCAAAGGCAGACTCACCAGCTACTAAGTTGATGGATTCCACTCCCGATTTTATTCCGGCACCCATCCTGGAGACCGACTCCTTCGCCAGCACTTTCGCCTCCGCCTGCGAGAACATACCGGAGGACAGCAAGATCCTGATTCGAGTGATCTACTGGTGAGGGGCGTCTGGCCCCCACCTGCCTTCCTCCCCCTGGGGAAAGGCCAGAGCGGGTGGGCGCTGGGGCTTTGAAGGTAGGGTGAGGCGGGGGGAGCCGCCACTCCCAGGTTGGAAACTCGGCTCCGCCTGTCATTTTCTCTGGGCCTTGGGAACTAACTGTTGGCTTCGAATCTCTGCTCTGAGCTTCATTCATTCACTCTCCTTCATTTACTCATTTTGGAGTATGCCCCCCCTCCCGCAGGCCAGGCCTGTGCTGAGGATGGATGGAGAGCTCCCCCCAAAGCTGTGCCCAGGGACGCGGGCAGGGGCTGGGGGGGATGTCAGGCTGGGTGGTCAGGGATGGCCTGTCTCAGGCGGTGATGAGAAGGGGGGGCCTCTACGTGAAGAGCCGGGTGTTGGGAGGGCGATTGAGGTCGCAAGGGGAGGAGGAGCCACCAGGGCCGAGGCTGGAAGGAGGCTGGCTTCCGTCCTCATCAGTGGGCCTCGAGCTGAGCCTCCCCATCAACGACAGCACAGCAGCAGTGACCTTCCCCGATCCCCACGCCTCTCTCCTGGTTTAGAACCTTCTCTCTCCCAGTCTCACTTTTCCCCCAGTTTCTTTCTTCCCACGTGGTCTCTTCCTCCTCGGTTTCTCTCCCCAACTCACTGTCTCTGTTCCTTTCCCCAAGTTATATGTGTCTCTGTCCCCTTCTCCCCGCTTCCTCACCTCCCCCTCTCTTTCTCTGCCCTTCTCCTCCTTTCTAGCTCTTTCTTTGACTCGATGGAGTAACTCGTTCATTCAACCACTGTTTATTAAGCACCTACCTGTGCCCTGTCCTTGGCACCAGGGACACAGCCGTGCATAAGATGGAGATCTCTGTCCCTTATGACACTCGCCTTCTGGTGTGGAGGGGGTTGGAATGAACAATAAATATGGCACACAGTACAGTATCTAGCATCTTAGAAGGTGATCAGTGCTGGGGCACCTGGGTGGCACAGTTAGGCATCTGACTCTTGATCTCGGCTTGGGTCATGATCTCGGCTTGGGTCATGATCTCGTGGTTCATGGGTTCGAGTCCCACATCAGGCTCTGCAATAATGGTGCGGAGCCTGCTTGGGATTCTGTCTTTCCTTCTCTCTGACCCTCCCTGGCTTGTGTTCTCTCTCTCTCTCCCTTTCAAAATAAATAAGTAAACTTAAAAAAAACCCAAGAAGGTGATCAGTGCCAGTGGCAGAAGGCATGGGGGGAGGGGGTCACAATTTTAGCCGGGGTGGTCAGAAAGGCCTACTTGAGAAGATGAAGTATGAGCAAAGACCTGAAGGAGGGGAGAGAAGGAGCCGTGTAGATAAAAGCATTCTGCAGTGGGAACAGCCAGTGCAAAGGCCCTGTGGTGAGGCATACAGTGTTGGAGGCATGCAGTGTTAGAGAAGAGGAGCTCCGAGGTGGGAGGGTTGGGTGGGCAGGGGGCAGGGCACTGTCTTGGGAGTCGGAGACATCCTAGGCCCAGCCCTACCTAGCTCAGCCAGCCCTCCCTGTTAAGATCACAACCAGTCACCCACACCCTTTTCTGAACCTCAGTTTTCTCATCTGTAAAACGGGGTTGTTGAGATGATTCCATGAGACGCCTCATATAAGGTCGTAAGTTTACGTGGCTCAAAGAAGAAGGCTCAGTGTATGTCAATGAATTTTTTTTTTTTGCAAAAGTGCTTTAGATTCATCTACTCCTCCCTCCCTTTTTTTTTTTTAAATGTTTTATTTATTTCTAGGAGAGAGAGAGAGAGAGAGCGCGCGTGAGCAGGGGAGGGTCAGAGAGAGAGGGAGTCACAGACTGAAACAGGCTCCAGGCTCTGAGCTGGCAGTCAGCAGAGAGCCCGACGCGGGGCTCGAACCCGCGAACCGCGAGATCATGACCTAAGCGAAAGTGGGACGCTTAACCGACTAAGCCACCCAGGCGCCCCACCCCACTCTCCCTTCTTTCCTTCCTTCCTCCTTTGCTGGAGCAAAGTGGGCCAGGGAGTGAATGGAGGCAATGGGGCAGATCCTGTGGGGGCTTGTGGACCATACAGAAGGCTGCTTTTTTGTTTTGTTTTGTTGGGTTTTTTTATTTTGCCTTTTTTTTTTTTGGTGACCTAGCGCTATGGGAGGATTCCAAGCCGTGGAGGGACGGAATTGGAATCTGTGTTCACGGGCCCCCTCTGGGCTTGAGGAGATACTAATGCAGTGTCTTCTCTCCATCTCTCTCTGTCTCCCTTCTCTTTCCCTCGGCGTCCAGCGGCCTCTGAAGCTATAGCCTTCGTGTGAGTAGTTTTGACTTTGGAGGTGGGGGGAGCGCTGGACAGAAATCTGGAGGGAGGTCCTGTTTTCCCTCCTCCCTTCCCCTCCCCACCCCGCCCGCAGACCTGTGATGCCATGATCCCGTCTTCTCCCCGCAGTACATTCTACTGAAAAGGAGTCTGGAGCTGCAGTTTCCAAATTGTCTACGCTTTGTGAGTGTGCCGTTGGCCTGGGGGGAGGGGGTGGAGTTAGGGCCCTGAGACCCCAGGGGCTTGGCGGGGAGCTCTCGCCTTTCCCCCCCCACCCCAATATTCCCTCCCCAGGAGGAGGAAAGATCTGTCCAGGCTACAGGGGAGTTTGAAGTGTTTGTGGATGGCAAACTGGTCCATTCAAAGAAGGTGATTATGAGCAAGGGTCCCAGACAGGGAGGGAGGGTGGTGCTGGGCTCCCGGGGAGGCAGGTGGGGTGGGGGAGGAGGTGGGGAGACATACGTGTCCCTCTTTACCCTCCATTCCCAGAAAGGTGATGGCTTTGTGGATGGGGCCAGGCTGCAGAAAATTGTGACCAGTATCAATGAGGAGATCAGGAAGAGGGAGGTGAGGTGAGGGAGGTGAGGTGGGCGGGCTGGGCGTGGGGCTGAGGGCAGGCAGCTCGCAGGGCACTGTCTCGGAATCAAAGACTAGGCTCCTCGGCCCAGTCCTGCCTAGCTCATCAGCCAGTCCTCCCTGTTAAGGTCAGGACCAGTCACCCACATCCTTCTCAGAACCTCAGTTTTCTCATGTGTAAAAGGGGGTTGTTGAGATGATTGCAGGAGACACCTCCACCAATACTGGATTTTATTATTTACTTATTTTATTTTAATTTTTTTAGAGAGAGTGAGTGTGAGCAGTGGAGAGGGGCAGAGGGAGAGAGAGAGTGAATCTCAAGTAGGCTCCATGCTCAGGACAGAGCCTGCCTGGGTGCTTGGTCCCATGGGATCATGACCTGAGCTGAAGTCAAGAGTCAGCCACTAAACTGACTGAGCCACCCAGGAGCCCCTTAGTTTTCATTTTTGTTCCTTTATTTTATTTACTTACTTCTCTACACCCAGCGTGGGGCTCGAACTCACAACCCTGAGATCCAGGGTCACTTGCCCTTTAGACCGAACCCACCACCCCAGATACTAGAGTTTTAAAACCACTGGGAAGGCACCTTCAGCAACTTCCCCTGCCCTCTGCCCTGTCCCAGGCCGCTACTGATCTGCTTTCTGTCCTAGATTAGTCGGCATTTTCTAGACGTTTACATAAACGGAAGCTGTAATTTTTTTCATGCTTTTTTGATGGAAAATTTTAGACCCATCCACTAGTTGAGAGGTTAGTACAGTGAACTCCATGTGCTGAGAGCGAGGGAGAGGGAGAGAGTGTGAGTGGGGGAGGGGCAGAGAGAGGGGGGGAGACAGAGAATCTGAAGCAGCTCCAGGCTCTGAGCTGTCAGCACAGAGCCCCATGTGCGGCTCGAACCCACGAACCGTGAGATCATGACCTGAGCCGAAGTCGGACGCTTAACTGACTGAGTCACCCAGGCACCCTAATAAAATTTTAGAACAGAAGTACAAGACCGTTCTCACACCCAACAAAAATTTAATTTTAGTGATTTTTTTTAAGTAGGCTCACACCCATGTGGGGCTTGAACTCACGACCCTGAGACCAAGAGTTGCATGCTCTGTCACCTGAGCCAGCAGGCGCCCCCTCCAACAAAAGTTTTTAAATGTCTCAATGGTGGGGTGCCTGGGTGGCTTAGTTGGTTAAGCGTCCGACTTTCGCTTAGGTCATGATCTCGCGGTTCGTGGGTTCGAGCCCTGCGTCGGGCTCTGTGCTGACGGCCAGCTCAGAGCCTGGAGCCTGTTTCAGTCTGTGACTCCCTCTCTCTCTGACCCTCCCCTGCTCATGCTGTCTCTCTCTCTCTCTCCTAGAAATAAATTTAAAAAATATATTAAAAAAAAAAGAAATCTTTAAAAAAAAATAATAAATGTCTCAATGGCATGTGATACCCACTCAAGTGTCTCAAAAATATCTTTTTAGAGGTGGTTTGGAAATTAGGATACTGACAATGTTCACGTTATATTAGCTGTTTTTAAAAAATTATAAACAGGACTTTTGGAATCCCTACTATGTGCCAGGCTCTTAGTAGGGCTGTTTTTGAGCGGCCGTGCTGGGGCTGGGGGCCGGGGAGGCAGCGGAGAGGTCTGTTTCTCTCACCTGCCAATAGGCAGAATAGCATAGTAGTTATACCGGCAGTGTCCCGGGTCACAGAAGCTTAGGTTCAAGTCCTGGATCTACGAGCCACACAAGGCTGAAGCCAGTGATGTTAGATGTTGTGAATTAAGGGCTCGGCAAAACCCTTCTTCAGCAAGGGACAGCAGTTGTTATTGGAGTAAGTCATGAATGTTCTTATTGCAGCAGAGAACCCAGTTCAAACTGGCTGAACAACAAAAATTGGCTCATGAGAAAAGTCTAGGGGCTAATTAGCTTCAGGCATGGCTTGATCCAGGGAGCAAAATGTTGTCTTTGGGAATGTGACTCCCTTACTCTGTGTCCTGCTTTTTTGCTGGGCTAACTTTACTCTCAGAAGGGCTCCTTATCTTGGTGGCGTAAATTCCCATTGGCTTGGATCAGGTCACATGTTTATCCCTGAACCAATCAGTGAGGCCCAAGGGAACACAGTGCTCTCATTGGCCAGTCTTGAGTCCTGGGGCCCTTCTCGGAGCTCGGGATGGAGTTGGTCTCCCTACGCCCATGGGGAGAGATGATGCGGGGAGAGCGCTGGGTGGACAAGAACGACGATCCACTCTATTACAAAGCGGAAGAATGGATAACAGTTAAGTCAGTGCTGTCTGGCTTCAGATCCCTATCTTACTGGCTGTGTGACTTCAGGCAAGTGCCTTCACCTCTCTGCCTCGGTTGCCTCCTCTGTAAAGCAGAAACCGGGATAGCTTTTACCTCCTTGGAGTTCAGTTTATCCAACAAGTATTTGCTGAGCCCTTACCCTGTGTTGGATACTGTTCCAGGTCCCGGGGACGATAGGACCGTGTGAACTCCTGCACATTCTAGTGGTGGGGACGGGCAATGGACAAGACACCTAGGCAAATAGGAGGTGGAAATAAGTCGTGGGAAGAGAATAAGGCAGGAAAGGAGTGGGGGCGGGTAGTGCTGGGAGTGTTTTTGCAGTCCTAACTTGAGTGGTCGGGGAAGACCGTATTGGGAAGATGGTGTGTAAACACTTGAAAGAAGGAAGAGGTTGAGTCATGAGGGTATCTGGGGAAAATATACCCGGCAGGGGGAGCAGCATGTGCAAAGGCCCTGGGGTAGGAATGTGTCTTGCGTGTTTGAGAAATGGCAAGGAGACTTGAGCCGGGAGTTAATGTTAGGATGGTGCCCGACACAGAGTAGACGCTGTATAAATGCCAGTATTTTTATAGTGTTGTCATTGCTGTTGATATTTTACAGTGTTTTCTCTCTCCTCTCCATTTCAGGCGCCTCAGCAGGATGCCGAGAAGGGCTGAAATGTTGCCAAGTCAGGTCCTTTTCTGATGGTGGCTGGGGCAGGGGTGAGGTGGGGAGGCATGAAGAGGGAAATAAACACAGTCTGCCTCTCCGTTCTGGCCTGCTCTCCTCTAACGTTGCCATGCTGTCTCCTGAAGGGAGCAGAGTCGGGGGTGGGGGCCGTGCAGAGTCCGGGAGGGGAAGGAAGGGCAGTTTTGAAGAGAAGCCGAGTCCTGGGTGCCTGGGTGGCTCAGTCGGTTAAGCATCTGATTTCGGCTCAGGTCATGATCCCACGGTCTGTGAGTTCAAGCCCGGCGTCGGGCTCTGCGCTGACAGCTCAGAGCCTGGAGCCTGCTTCCAATTCTTTTGCCCCTCCCCCACTCATACTTGGTCCATCTCTGTCTCTCTCAAAAATAAACATAAAAAAAACCAAAACCACCAATGAAGAGAGCCTAGCCCCGGTCTCCTCTTGCCCCCCTGGGTTGTTCCTGCAGCTCAACTTGTGGTGCTGTTGAGTCTCTTTCTTTTTTAATGTTTATTTTTGAGAGACTGAAAAAGACACAGAGTGCAAATGGGGGAGGAGGGGCAGAGAGAGGGAGACACAGGATTCGAAGCAGGCTCCAGGCTCCTGGCTGTCAGCACAGAGCCCGACGCGGGGCTTGAACTCGCAGACTGTGAGATCATGACCTGAGCCGAAATCAGATGCTTAACCGACTGAGCCCCCCAGGCGCCCCTGAGCTTCGCATCAGGGCTTGGTCTTTCTGGCAACCAGTTTTCATCCTGAAGTTACCTGTGCGGCCACCACGAGTCACCTCATTAGGACAAAAGATGCCCCGATCCCCCTGATCATTCAGGGATGCCACGTGGTGGCAGCTCTGTGCCAGGAACCAGGGACACAGATGAAAATGTCTTATTATCCTGCAAAGACTAGCTCTGCTTTGAGGCCAAAATGACTGTCACCTGGTGTTTGCTCCCATTGGTGCCCCGTGACCCATGCTTTTCTGGAGAAACGGAAGCATGTTTCCCTTTCCAACAAGAGGTATGGGTGACTTGGTGACAGGAGGAAATAAGAACCATTTAGTGATTTTTATTAGTTGGCACAGAACTACCTCCTCCTCTCCTGTTCTGGGTCTTCCTCTCAGTCCCTGAAGAAAACAGAGCGTTAGCCATGAGCCTGGTTCCGCGCAGTTCGGGGCTGGCCACGCCACGCCGTCTTTATCGGATACCCTTCCCTGCTCAGACGTCCACAGATGGGCATTTCCCCAAGTGAGCGGGGGCCGGGCTTCTGACATGAGATCATTTGTTCAGATTTTTTTTCCTCTTAAGTTTATTTCTGTTTAGTAATCTCTATACCCAACATGGGGCTTGAACTCATGACCCTGAGATCAAGAGTCCCAAGCTGTTCTGACTGAGCCAGCCAGGCACCCCATATTTCACACACAAAAAAAGTCTTAATTTGGTTTACATGACAATATGTATTTTTGTATTCTCTCTTTTTAAAAATTTTTAAGTTACGTTTATTTTTGAGAGGCAGAGAGAGACAGAGTGTGAGGGGGCAGGGGCAGAGAGGGAGACACAGAATCCGAAGCAGGCTCCAGGCTCTGAGCTATCAGCGCAGAGCCCGACGCAGGGGTCGAACTAATAACCTATGAGATCATGACCTGAGCCGAAGTCAGACGCTCAACCAACTGAGCCACCCCGGCGTTCCATGTACTTACATATTCTAAGGACGTGTGTTGGCCTAGGAACTCTATAGAGTCTTGTGTCCCCTCCTGAGAAATTCCAGAAGCTTCTATAGTTCACCTCTGTTATAAGACTCCATCACTTATAAAGCTGTAGAAGGAACAGGGCGGCATAAACTTATGAGACACAGAGCATTGAGTATAAGCCTGGGACCTCAGAGAAGAATGTCAAAATCTGACGTTTTGGATCTGGTCCCAAGCAGTCTGGCCCCAGCCTCCCCTGGCCCCCAGCCCCGCTCCCCTGCCCTAACTGAGAGCCTAACCCCGCCGTTAGGTCAGTGCCCTTTGGTGCGATTTGGAGTCTGATGCATCTAGAAAAAACAACTTGCTCTTCTAAGCCTCAGCATTCTTTTCTGGGCAAATTAAGGGACCAAATGCTTGACCAAGCAGTTCGAAGTGGGGGCACCTGAGTGAGCAGAACGCTTACTGTTGGGGCAGCCCCCCCACTTTCTCTGAACCCCAGTTCGCCTTGCCCATGGGGAAGAAACCTGCCACTGCCGCCTCAGGCCAGGTCCTGGGAGAACCCGGGAGAATACGCAGCCTCCGTGGGTGACCGGCTAGGCAGAAACTCCGGGCTCACTTCCTGAACCCAGAGAGCCGGTTTTGACCTTGAGATGCCCCCCCCACACCAGAAAAAGTGAAAGCCACGTTTCTCGATACTACTGTGCAGTCTTACAGGTCACAGGCATAGGTTTATTGCATAACACTCTCCTCCAAGTCCAGCAAGTCCCTTCTGTTGCCACGGAGTATAAAGAAAGGTCAGGAAAGGGGCTTCCAGGAGCTCAGTCGGTTATGCATCTGGGCCTCGGCTCAGGGCATGATCTCAGGTTTGTGAGTTCCAGCCCCGCGTCGGGCTCTGTGCTGACAGCTTGGAGCCTGGAGTCTGTTTCGGATTCTGTGTTTCCCTCTCTCTCTGCCCCTCCCCTGCTCATTCTTGCTCGCTTTCTCTCTCTCTCAAAAATAAACATTAAATTAAAAAAAAAAAGTCAGGGAAAATGCTACATTCTGGCTCACTGTGGACACTTTTGTACTCCACGTACCTCAGAATCTACCGCTCTTACCACCGGGGAAAGCAGGACTTGCCCCTGAGCACCAGCCTGGACAGTCCCAGAGGAAATGCTATCAAGCCTTACCAGGATAATTCCAGTGGATTTTAAAGTGTTCCAGAACTTAGGAAAGCAAACACTACCAAATTATTTACATGGTGTTGTAACATTGAAATCTAAACGTAACAAATAGTGCACAAGCAGACACTTCTGGACTTCTGGAACACTTATGGAAACAGTCTTAAATAAAAGCGGGGGAGGGTCGCCTGACTGGTTCAGTCAGTTAAGCTTCAGACTCTTGGTCTCAGCTCAGGCCTTTTTTCTTTAAGTTTATTTATTTATTTATTATTAAATTTTAAAAAATGTTTATTTTTGAGAGTGAGAGAGACAGAGCACAAGTGGGGGAGGGGCAGAGAGAGAGGGAGACACAGAATGTGAAGCAGGCTCCAGTCTCTGAGCTCTCAACACAGAGCCTGATGCAGGGCTTGAACTCACCAACTGCAAGAGCATGACCTGAGCCGAAGTCTGATGCTCAACCCACTGGGCCACCCAGGCAGCCCTATTTATTTACTTTAAAGGGCAGGGGAGAGGCTGAGGAAGTGGTGGAGGCAGGGAACGAGAGAGAGAAAATCCCAGAGCCCGATGTGGGGCTCAATTCCACAACCCTGGGATCATGACCTGACCTGAAATCAAGAGTTGGACACATAACTGATTGAGCCACCCGGGCGCCCCTCAGCTCAGGTGGGTTCTGTGCTGAGTGTGACGCCTTCTGAAAGAAAAACAAGACCAGAAAAGACAGACATCCAGAAGCACATTAAAAGAATTATACCTCGTTTGTAAATAAGGATCATTTGAGGAATACAAAGGTCACGCATCATCAGTAACTAATTCATCATGGTGCTGACTATAAAAATAATCCTCGGAGAGGGGCGCCAGGAGGGGCTCGCTCAGTCGGTTGGGTGTCCGACTTTGGATGGGGTCATGATCTCAGTTTGGGAGTTCGAGCCCCACATTGGGCTCTGTGCTGGTGGCTCAGGGCCTGGAGCCTGCTTTGGATTCTGTGCCTCCCTCTCTCTGCTTCTCCTCTGCTCACACTCTCTCTCCCAAAAATTAAAAAATATCCTAGGAGGGCACCTGGGTGGCTCAGTGGATTAAGTGTCCGACTTCGATTCAGGTCATGATCTCGCTGCTGTCCGCACAGAGCCCACTCCTGACCCTCCTGCTACTCCCCCGCTCACTCACTCACAGGCTTGCTCTCTCTCAAATAAAAAAAAAAATTAAAAGAAAATGTTTGTCCCTACATGAATGTTCCTAAAGTAGATCTTTGACAGATGTTACTTATTCCCAGCTACTTTATCTTTTATGTTTTTCTCTATGTAAATGAGGATTATTTCTGTTACATTTTTCTAAGAGTTTACCTGTGTGTATGAAAATAACGGACTTCTGGGCACCTGAGTAGCTTAGTCGGTTCAGCACCCAACTCTTGACATCAGCTCAGATTGTGATCCTGGGGTTCAGGGGAGAAATGGACAAAAGATATGAACAGAGAGTTTATGAACAGGGAATAAACGTAACTCTCATAAGATATTTTTTGCTTGTGGGAGAAAAGCAAATTAAAGCTGGTGCATTATCTTTCACCCATTTAGACTGGCAAAATCCAGATATCTGATGGCTTCCAGTGTCCATCAGTCGCTGGCGGGAGTGCGATGCAGGACATCTTTGTGGTATGGATCCAATTTCCACGGAGCACCTTTGCGCAGAATCCGCACTTCTGGAAATTCACACTGGATGTCACACACTAGAAGATGCCCCAAGGAGAAAACGCTCTATTACACCATCCAAGGTTACAATATGTCCCATTGCACAGGTTATCAAAATATGAAAAGTGCATTCAGCATCAAAGCGATACTGTATCTGTGCACCAGTACCAAACGCAAGGTGACCTTTCACATTTTTTTTTGCGCCAACAGAATTACTTTCTAAAATAAATGATGAACTTTTTTTTAATTTTTAATTTTTTTATTATTTATTTCTGAGAGAGAGAGAGAGAGACAGCGTAAGCAGGGGAGGCTCAGAGAGAGAGGGAGACACAGAATCCGAAGCAGGCTCCAGGCTCTGAGCTAGCTGTGAGCATAGAGCCCAATGCGGGGCTCGAACCCACGAACCGTGAGATCATGACCTGAGCCGAAGTAGGACCCTTAACCGACTGAGCCACCCAGGCGCCCCAAATGATGAACTTCTGACATAAAAATATCTAAAGACCAATAGGGAGAACAACTTCAAGGCTCATCAGTCCTTTCCTGGATAAGTAAATTACAACATAACCAACCACAGAATGAAACAGAACGCAGCTCTGAAAAAGAATGAGGCAACGGAGTGGTTTGGAATGATCTTCAAGGTCCATTCCTACTGAAAACGCAGCGTGTAAATCATTAATATGCCCACTTTTGTGAAGAAATGAAAAACACCCAAATTTGTATTTGCTTGTCTGTGCATAAGTCGGCGACAGTAGAGGCACCTTATACACGTGGCTTGTGGAAGGGACTGGATGGAGGGGACAGGGATGGGAGACCTTTCAGTGTTTATTTTATATTTAGGGGTATTTCTGAATAGATTTACAAAAACAAAAAGCTTAAATACATTAAAAAGGAAAGAAAAAAAATCCAGAAACTTCAGATATTCTCGAATACAAGGTTCATCAGGTAATATGTACAAGTTACGTTGTTTGCCGTCTGAAATGCTTCACAGAACACAAAATCCATCTTTGGCGAAAACCTTCCGTCGAATCCGTCGAATCGGCCAATGTCAAGTTCTCGCCATAGGCTTCCGGTCTCTCCACCAGACAACCGCGCCGCGGCTCCCTGTTCCTACCCGTCACGATTTGAGTTTCTTTCATCATCACGGGCTCCGTCCGATACCGGCAACCGTTCCTCCTCGGGTCTCAAAATTTCCTGAAAACGCTCCTTCACTTTTCAGCGAAGCAATTTGGACAGCCATTCCCACAACGCGGGGAGGAGCCTCTGGATCAATCCCAAACTCAACGTCACAGGAGTCACAAGGGCTTTGAACTTCTTTTATGGGGCTTCTTCGTGATAAACGTCCTCCCCCCCCCCACCGGCCATCGCCTTATCTCACACACTACGACTTTCTACAATCGAGGGACGGGATTGAAAGGGGAGGCTCTCCTCTGGTGTGGTTTCATCACCAGACTAATCTCTACTTATATACTTGTCGCAGCCGAGTTCTTCTATCAGGGGATTGATCACCTCAGACGCAGTGAGAGCTACGGTAAATGTCAAAATGTCAAAATCCATCCTCTGCGGGTTCCGCTGGTACTCGGCATCGAACGCCGCTTCGCGGGCTCGGCAGGCCTCCACAAACCTCCTGCGGCGCTCCCCGAGCTCCTGGATGCGGCCCGGAGCGATCGGGTAGTGCTCCAGGTAGTGGCGCAGGAACTGCTGGTAATTGATTCCTAAGACGCTAAGCGGGTGACGGAGGCGGAGGTACGGCAACGCGGCCAGGCCTGGGCCGTTCCCGGGCCGGGATCGGGGTCTGGCCTGTGCACCCTCTTCCTCCGCCGGCTCCGCCAACCCCCGGGCGACCTCCGCGTCGCGGGCCTCCCCGGCCGCCGCTCCCGGATCTTCCCCGGGCTCCGCAGGCCCCGCGGGGGCCGGCTCCCGCCTCCCGCCGCCTACCTCCGCCTGCGGGGCGTCGCCGTGGCCGTTCGCCGCGTCCGTCTGCCGGACAGCGCTGTCGGGGGGCAGCTCGGCCATCTCGGACCGCGGGGGCAGCTCGGCCGCTCGCAGAAAAAAATTGCAATAACGGGACGGCGCGACTACGCAGAAAAATTGCAGTAACGGGACCGCGCGACTACGGGCGCGCGCGCAAGTGCGTGTGCGCGGGCGCTGTGCGCACCGGGGGACGCGGCGCGTGCGATTGTCCTACGGATACACCTAGGAGCGCCGCGCACGCGTCCTTCCCGCCGCCCGGGCCCCGCCTGGCGCCACCTCGCGGCGGGAAGCGTCATCACAGCCGAAACCGCCCGGAGCGTTGTCAGCGAACGTCGAAGCGCGCGGCTCTGTTTTCCGTTGGGTCAGTTTAACGTTCACCCCGGGAAAGTCTTACGAGACTGTTTCTTGTTGGCCTTCCCAAGGTTCCACCCAAGATGCTCCTGTCTACGCTTCCTGTTCTCCCGGGGTTATAATGCCACATCTGCAGTGCGCCCGGCGGTCAGCTGGATCCGCCTCGTGCTTCAACAGGGATTGGCCTGACCAGACCCAGGGACACCCCCTATTCCAGCCTCAGACCACCCTCCAGCCGCCTCTACAGTCTCAACCCCCGGAACCAGCCGGCCAGCCACCCGCTGCCTCTAGGGCCAACCAACGCCGCGTTTTGAACTTGGCGCCTCGTTGCCGACCAACCATGGGCTGTCAGATTCGTCAGAATTATTCCCCCGAGGTGGAGGCCTCCGTCAACTGCCTGGTCAACATGCATCTGCGAGCCTCCAACACCTACCTCTCTCTGGGCTTCCACTTCGACAGCAGCGACGTGGCCCTGCCCGGCTTGGGCCGCTTCTTCCGCGACTTAGCGCGGAAGAAGCACGAGGGTGCCCAGCGGCTCCTGACTTTGCAAAGCCAGCGGAGCGGCAGCGCGCTCTTCCAGGACGTGCAGAAGCCGTCGCACGACGAGTGGGGGAAAGCCCCGGACGCCATGGAGACGGCTATAGTCCTGGAGAAGAACCTGAACGAGGCGATTTTGGATCTGCACGCCCTGGGGTCGGCCCAGGCCGACCCTTATCTCTGTGATTTCCTGGAGAACCACTTCCTGGGCGAGGAGGTGAAAGTCCTCAAGCAGATGGGCGACCACCTGACCAACCTCCGCAGGCTGACCGGCCCCTACGCCGCGCTGGGCGAGTATCTCTTCCAAAGGCTCACCATGAAGCGCGACTAGCGGCCTCTGGAGCCCAGCAACCTCGGAGGGGCCCCTCTGGCATCCCCTTAGTGCCAGGGCTTCCGCGTGCGCTTGTCCGAGCAGCTTTTTTAACCACCCCGGAGCCCTCTCCCAAACTGACCGAATGGAAACAATAAAGTCTTTTGCAATGAAAAATCAATGGTGCCTGTATTATCTACCAAGATAGTCTAGATTCATGGGTTTTTTTTTTGTGTGTGTGTGTGGGGGGGATGTTCTTTATTATCTAACACTTATTCATTTGTCTATTTTCCCCATAACAATCCTCTTTTTTTTTTTTTAAATGTTTAATTTTTGAAGGAGAGAGACACCGAGCATGAGCAGGGGCGGGGCAGAGAGAGAGACACACACACACAGAATCCGAAGCCGGCTCCAGACTCTGAGCTGTCAGCACAGAGCCGGATGCGGGGCTCTCCAACTGCGAGATCATGACCTGAGCTGAGGTCGCAGGCTTAACGGACTGAGCCACCCAGGCAGTGTCTCCCCCCCCCGCCCTGGATAACAATCCTCTTAACTATTAAAGCTTTATAATAATACCCCCTCTTACCTTTAAGACTTCTTTAGCTACTCTTGGACGGTTATTCTAAATCTCATTTGTGTGACAATATGCAGAAAAGTATACAAAATATAACTATACAGCGGAATGATTTATCAGAAAGTGAACATCCATGTAACCCCCACTGGAAACGGATCCCCAGTATTCCTGAACCCTTCTCCCTTCACTATCCTTTCTACCTGGAGGTAACTACTATCCTGGTATTTATCATCATTGTTTTCTTGCTTTGCTTTTTGTTTTACGACCTAGGGCTGCATTCCTGTATTTTAGTTTTGCTTACTTAAAAAATTGTCTTTTAAGTTTATTTTTTGAGAGAGAGACAGAAAACCCCAAGCAGGCTCCCCCCTGCCCCCTCCCACAGCCCCTCCAGAATTCGAGATCACGGCCTGGGCAGATATCAAGAGAGGGTTACTTAACCGACTGAACCACCCAGGCGCGCCAGTTTGCTTGTTTTTTGAAATTTATATACTCTTGTGTCTGGTTTCTTTCACACATTATTTTTATGAGATTCATCCATGTTTTCCATTGTGGTTACTAAATAGTTTATATTTTTAAACATTTTTTAAAATTTTATTTTAAGTAAACTCTTAAGTCCAATGTGGGGCTTGAACTCACCATGTGGAGATCAAGAGTCACATGTTCCATAGACTGGGCCAGCAAGGGCACCCAATAGTTTTATTGACAGCTACAAAGTCATTGCTAGTCTTATGTGTCTCATAGTATTACAACATACTTCTTAAATATTGTTTTTCCAATTACAGTCTCTTTTTTCTAATTAATGGAAAAACTTTAGATAGGGAAATTCTATCTAAAAATTTTTTAATGTTTATTTATTTTTGAGGGAGAGACAGAGGGTAACAGGGGCAGAGAGAGAGGGAGACACAGAATCCCAAGCAGGCTCCAGGCTCAGCTGTCAGCACAGAGCCCAACGCGGGGCTCAAACCCACAAACCGTGAGATCATGACCTGAGCTGAAGTCGGACGCTTAACCGACTGAGCCACCCAGGCACCCCCTGAAGAGACAATTCTAACTCATTCACATTGATCATTCTAGTCTCCACCTCTTATCTATAAACACTCCAACAGTGAGAATCCTGGCTTCTATAATCTACCTTTGTTACTTTGTTCAATTCTAAGATATGTGGATAGTCAGAATTGTTAATATCTTTTTTTTAAGGTTTTATTTACTTCTTTTTTTTTTTTTACAAATAGTTTATTGTCAAATTAGTTTCCACATAACACTCAGTGCTCATCCCCATAAGTGTCCTCCTCT